ATCAGTCTTGGATGCAACCATTCTCTTAGCAATGAGGGAGAACAGAATTTCAGAAATGCTAAGTATTACACTGCTATTTGATCCCCCAACTCTTCTTCCAACTAGTTGAAGTATTCTTCATAACAAGTCTATGACCACAAACTTCAGAGGTTTAACATAGCTTACCTTAACAGACCTTAAGTTAGAGTTCAATGAGGCCAACTTGCTCATTTGATAGAGAGAAAGCAGACTGAGTAACTTGAGTCACTCAGAGAGTTGCAAGGGCTTAGACTTGTACTCATGTCTCCCAAATTTCAAATTGGTGGTCTTTTCATGATACCACTCACCTAGACAGATATTTTTGGTCACTTCCCTCTTCAGCTTCCTGAAGATCCAGTATCTATAGTTGTTCTTCCTCCAACGGGTAATCATGTCCAATTCACATGCTGGGGTTCCTGCTGATTGGAAATGATTAACACAAGGCTATTGTTGCTGGAGACACAGGGATATTGAGAGCTCAACATTAATGCTTGGATCTATAGAAAAGATTGTATGAACTTTTACAGAGGCTGTGGCAGGAGGGGCTGGAGAAAGTGGGTATCTGAAAGGGGCTAAAATTGATTCCATTAGAAAGGTTATATGCATACCCATCAGAATCACTTATGAAACTTGTTACTTCAGATACTGGGCATTACCTCAGACCTAGTAAGTTTGATGAGGCCCAGGCATTTGTGTTTAATAAGTTCATATGTCTTGACAAGTTGAGTTGTCCAAAATGAACCTTAGAAACACTCTCTCGGTTGCCTGAAAAATGTACTAGCTGGGACCAGCCTTCCTACCCAACATTCTTCTCATAGTCAGAGGATCTAAAATATAAACCTAGTTTCCCTTCGGACAGGTGGCTTCTTCCTTCTGCCAGAAGAGCCAACACTCCCCAAAGATCTCAAGTTTCCCAGGTATTAAACAGCTAGCTTTCCCAGATGACTCTTCTAAAAAGCTGGCACTCCGTATTCAGACTGCCTGGTACCATCTGCCTACCCACAAAGTTGTTCTTACACTTGCCTTATAAGAAGGAAAAGCAGCAAGGCCCTCTCTTAGAATACTGATATACACTGGGTGTCCAGCAGAGCATCCTGTCTCTAGAAACCTTTCTGTTGGTAAAATGGGGAGGATATTGGAATCTGTACCTATTCTTCTTGCCCTTCTCTGGACTCTAAGTTTCCCCACTGAAGCTTTTTCTTTAATCCATTCTCTTGTAAATTCATGCAGAACCCTTGGGCATGGCATTAGGCAACAAACTATGTAATAGTTCCCCTAATGTTTCTGCTCACAGCACAATTTGAGATCCACTTGGTTGAGATTTGATCTGATTTCCCAAGTCTCTCCTTTCTCAGAGCTTGGGTACTTCCCAGATGTGGAGAAAAACCTTGGAAGCCAAGGTTCACCAAGAAGCCATCCATGGAGCTTCGTGATGATGCGTTTTTTTATTTGAAGATCTTCATAAAGTGATTTACTAGAACCATTAAAATGTAGGATATCTAAAAGTAGGTAAGATCTCCTGAACAGAGAAAGAACTAGGACAGAGTTCAAAGGACAGAGCCAATTTGAAGTTGAGGGTTTAATCTCATGCTTATTAATATCTTGATGATTGGTAAAATATACCAATTTGATATAAGTTATCTATAATTTAATGTACATATAGTGTGCAGTACAAGAGTTGTTTTTTGTTTTAAAGAAGCTCATGACATGTATAACTGTATTATGCATTATGTGTTTATATATGTGATACCTATGGATAGACACACAGTAACCACACTGGGGAAATTTTCTATATTAAAAATAAGAACCCAACTATGATGGAACGTAACATGGATGTGTAGCCTCTGGAAAAGGCCCTTCTTTGGGTCTTTTCTCTTGGGCCTGCCTGTTCTAAGCACTTTAGGAATATTGACTCATTTATGTTTCACAACACTGAGAGAGATACTATTATTATTTCCACAATACAAATGAAGAATTTGAGGTACAGAAAGGATAAGTAATTTGGCCCAAGGCCAAGTGGTAAATCCTGGACTCAAACTCACTACACTGCATTGTACTTAACTGCTTCTCAACAGGCAGGATAAGAACATTTAAGTCACACCTTCCATTCCTATGTGGTTCCCAAAGGGCCAAGAAACTAAACTTCACTGATTCCAGAACACCAGCATGACCTTGACTTCAGAACCATGGAGGTTTAAAGAATGACTACCTCTGAGAGGTTACTATCCTGAGAGGCTGCAATAAGTCTCAACCATGCTAAAAACTCTATCTATGTAAACTAAGGATTAATTTTCCTGTCCCCCACTAAAGTGGAACCACAAAGCAAGTGGCATCCTTGGCATAAACCAATGAAACATCAGATAGAGGTCCCATGGTATAAGCATTTACCAAGTAATCTGGATTTTGGTCACAGCTCCATTGGTAGCTAAATTTCCTTTGTCAAAAACTAAGGGGATAAGACTAGAATGATCAGACTCTTTTTCAAATCTCCAGAGACGTATAAGAGCCTAAGGTCCACGTGTCAGATGAAACCATTGGAGAAACAGGCCAATCACCTAATGATAAAATAGAATGACTTAGTGTTGAGGAAGACATTAAGAGCAGTCAGCAGGTAAACAGGGAATAGTCCCACACTGGGCAAAATTTGCCACACTCACTGAAGAAGGGAAATTCTATGAAAAGAGAAATAAATGTGTCTCTGCTTGGCAGGATGGCACAAACTTTCAGAAAGGAAGGAAGAATCATTAACTAACATGGCATACAGATCTTACAGTGAGTTAGAAAGTTGCCTTTCCCTCTTCTGCCTCCTCTTGGTTTTCTTTTTGGTCAAGGGCAAATCTGGGAATAACAGGTCTTATCCTAAGGTATCCAGAATCACTGGTCTAGTAATACCCACACTGGGTCAGGTGAATGCAACCCTAAGTATTAAAACAAATGCCCCAAAGTAATCCCATCTCCTCCCAGACAGTAGAAAATGACAGTAGATATTTCTATCTGGGTTTAAGTCTCTAGTTCTTTATTGAGAAAAGGGAAAGGGGATGAATTTGGGCCAAGTCCCAACTCTCCCTAAACTCTCTAGGTGCTCTGAGCCACATAATCTAACCTGTTTATCGATTTCCTCACATGGGATATGAATTCAAAGTGGGTAAGCAGTAGTCCCTTACTTCTTCCTGAGTCAAGATAGAAGGCAATGATATTGCTGCACCACAGGGCGGAACATCCCTGGGCAAATGACTCACCTTTTGGAAAATCTGGTCCTACACTGTAAAATGGCATTACTAGTACTTGCATGTCTTTTCTCACAGAGCTTCTGTGAATGCTACAAGTTTAAAATGGCAAAGCTTATTATAAAGAATATCATACACAACAGAAGAAGATTATATTATTGCTGTGCTTACCTCAGATTAATAAATTGGGAGGGTAATTAGGCTTAATTATTTATTTTTAATGGAGGTACTGGGGATTGAACCCAAGACCTCATGCATGCTAAGCTTGCACTCTACCACTGAGCTATTCTTCTCTTCATATAACTAACTTTCCGGCCCTCACAACCCTGACAACTTCCTGTTACCCTAACCATCTGAAATTCTGTTGAGCATGCCACTTCCTCTTATAATCAATTGCTGACCCAGGAATAATTTTCCCTTGTATCTACTCTTTTCAATATTAAGAAATTAAGAAATTACTTCATCCAGAAGGAAGCAGGATCTGAAGGTTCTGGAATAGCTTTTCTTCAGGTACTTCACTTCCTGGAATCGGCTGACTGCTTCCTAGAGCCTTTGCCAATACACAAGAGTCAGCAGGAGGGCCTAGGCAGTCTCCATTCAATCCTACAACAGAGATAGTCTCCAGGTCCTCAGACAACAGTGTTCATGAAAATTGGCTCAAAATCACAATAAATTCACAGATACTGATATTGAGAATTTGTTCATTAACCCCAACAACAAATACTTAACACCTACTATATTCAAGAACCAACCCTCATCATCAGAACTGTAAAATAAATGCTACTACTCCCAAGCTCTGTAACTTCAACTAAGGTACTTTATCTTTGTGTGCCTCAATTTTCTTATCTGTAACATGAGGATAGTAATAGTACATCTTATGGGGTTAATGGGAGTATTAAATGAGTTAATGCCAGTAAAAACTCTTAGAACAGTGCTTGGGACACAGCAAGCATCTGGGAAACATCCTGGGTAAAGAGGCCCTTCCTTGCCCAGCTAGAGCCGAGCAGAACGCAACTCTGATCTTTTCCAGCTCCCAGGGGCGCACCCAAAGACCACCACCCGCTGTCGGTGCAGCCGAGAGACTAGGCTGTGCCCACCCGCAAGGCGAGCGCTGGGCGCCACGCAGAGACACCGCGCCGCGTCCCAGCCACCGGGACATCGCACGGCTGGATCTGCGGCCAGACAACCCGCGGCCCTCCAGCTGGTCTCCCGCAAGGGAACCAAGTGTTTCCGCAAGACAACTTCCCAGAGCTTCCAGGCCCACCCGTCCAGGCCCCAGATCCCGGGGCCCTGCGTGCCCCTCTCACCGGCCGCCTGGGGCCGAGCGCGGGACACACCCTGGGCCGGACCCGTGCTCAGACGGAACCTGAGTGCGTGGGACTTGAGGCAGCCGGAAGGATTAATGGCAAACCCTTGCGTTGCCCCATTGCTCCAGCGCTCACCAAGTTTCTCGGAGTCGCTGACACTCTTCCACTCAGACCGCTGGTTGTGTCCTACTCGGTATGCGGGGCTAGTCACTGCCTGATCAGCCGCCCGTACCTAATTCTCCTGGAGCAGATGACCCGTTAGAAAACCGAGCAGATCAGAAGAGTGGGCAACATACCAGAAGGGGCGGCTCTGCGCCTGCGCCCGAGAGTCTGGGACCGGCAGGCTGGGCTCCGACTCTCTTGTAGGTTTTTGCAAAGCGTAATATTGAGAGATTCAGAAGTTGATGCTAGAGGCCTGAGAAAACGGATTTTCGAAAAGTCCTGAAGACCTTAATACATTCTACAAAGTATAGTCCACACTAATGATTTATAGTTCTATACAGCATACCTGGAGAGCTGGTTAAAGTACAGATTCCCAAGCTTCGCACTCATTGGTTTGAGGAAGGTCCCAGGAACGCTGCATTTTCAGGAGGCATCCCAGATAATTCTAATGCAGTAGTCCTCAGACCATCTCTGGAGAAACAGGCTTTTTTGCACAATTTAGATGCCTAAATGCCATTAAATGCAGGACATTTCTCAAATTCCACCAAGAAACGTGAAGGTAAATAAAATCAGGATCCTACTCTGATCATGAAGATATTTTAACCTATGTTTTATCCCAAGAGTTTTATAGTTTTATTATTAAATTTAGATATTTGGTATATTTTGAATCAATTTTTGTATATGGTGTAAATTAAGGGTACAACTTCATTATTTTACATATGGATATCCAATTTTCCCGGCACTGTTTGTTGAAAAAGACTGTCCTTTCCCAATTGTATGGTCTTAGCACTAGCTGAAAATCAGTTGATATATACGTGAAGGTTCCCCAAGCTCTCTTTTCTATTCCGTTGGTCTATATCCCTATTCCAGCACCAAACTCTTTAGATTACCACTGTGCAGCTTTGTGGTAAGATTTGAAAGGAAATATGAACCTTCCACCTTGCTCCTTTTCAAGATTGTTTTGGTTTTGAGGGTCCCTTGAGAGTCCGTATGAATTTTAGGATGCGTTTTTCTATTTTTGTAAAAGACATTGTTGGGATTGTGACAGGGAATACATTGAATCTGTTTGAGTAGCACTGCCGTCTTAACAATATTAAGTTTTTCAATACATGAACAGAGTGTGTCTTTCCATTTACTTAGGTGTTCCTTAATTTAATTTCTTTCAGCAATGTTTTTAGTTTTTGGTGTACAGATTGTATGCTTCCTTGGTTAAATTTATTCCTAGGTATTTTATTCTTTTTGATGCTATTACAAATAGAATTCTTTAATTTCCATTTCATATTGTTCATGGTAAGTGTATAGAAATACAACTAATTTTGCATTAACTTTATATTCTGTAAATTTGCTGAATTCATTTATAATCTGTAACTATTTTTGTAGATTCTTTAGATTTTTCTACATATAAGGTCATATCTGTGAACACAGATGTTACTTTTCTAATTTGGACATCTTTTATTTCTTTTTCTTGATTAATTGCTCTGACTAGAACTACCCTGTTGATTAGAAGTCACAAAAGTGGGCATCTTTTGTTTCTGGTCTTAGGGGGAAATTTTTCAATGTTTTAACCACTGAGTATGATGTTAGCTGTGGGTTTTTCATGTGTGGTTTTTATCATGTTGAGGAAGTTGCCTTCTATTGCTAGTATTTTTATTGTGAAAAGGTATTGAATTTTGTCAAATGCTGTATCTGTATCAATCGAGATGATCAAGTGCTTAATTCCTTCTCCTAATGTGGAAATTATGTATAGATTTGCAAAGTTTCATTATTTCCTCAAATATTCTACTTTTTTTTCCTCTTCTCTCCTGGGATTTCAGTATGTATATTGGTACATTTGATGGTGTACCACAGGCCCCCAGGCTCTGTTTACTTTTCATCATTCTCTTTTCTTTTTGCTACTAAACTGGTTAATTTCAATTGTCTTATCTTCAGATTTGCTGTTGCTTTTTTTCTGACAGCTTAAATGTGCTGTCGTACTCCTTGTAGTAAGTTTTTTTTTAAATTTCAGTTATTGCATTTTAAGCTTCAGAATTTGTCCAGTTTCCTTTTTATAATTTCTCTTTCTTAATATTTTTATTTTCTTCAGACATTGTTTTCCTGATTTCCTTTGTTCTTTATTCATGGTTTCCTTTACTTCATTGACAATAATTAAGACAGTTGATTTACTGCCTTTTACTAATAATTCCAATTTCTGGGCTCCTCAGGGATGGTTTCCCTCAAATCTTTATTTCCTACAAATGGGTCATACTTTCCTGTTTCTTTGTATGTTTTGTAATTTTTTTTTTTTGAGAATTGGTCATTCTGAGTATTATGTTGTGGTAACTTCAGAAATCCAATTCTCTTACTCCTCAGGGATTGTTGATTTATACTCGCTGAGGGCAGAAGCCATTTGTTTGTAGCTCTTCCAGGCTCTTTTTGCAAAGTGTGTATATTCTGTTGTGTGTGATCACTGAAGTTTCTCTTCCATTGTCTATGTAGTCAGCCACTGATCTGACAAAGTTTTTCTTAAATGTCTGGAATGGATGAAGGAGAAGTACTATTTTTTCAAATCCCTTAGGGAAGCCATTTCAGCCCTTTGGAGGTAAAAATACTGTTGGCCTCTGTGCTGGTTCCTCAGCAATCAAAAGCAGTGATCAGAAATCAAAACATACAACTCCAATTTTTAGAATGCAAGGTCTTGATTGCTCACCCTTGCACCAGCAAGCCACGCCAGGAACAAGGCCCACAGTCCCCACTGACTGCCTGCCATAATGCTAGAACATGGGGGATGGTAGCCACCACATGAAACTACATGAAGTGATATTCACCAAAATTTACCAATCTCTTTATCAATCTTTCCTCTGGACACTTCCAGTGTTTCAACAGACTCCAAAATTCCAAAAGAGTTGCTTCACACAATCTTGCAAACTCAATAATTGTTTCCATAGAGGGACCAATTCCTGGACATTCCTACTCATCCCTGTTCCATGACATAACTGCCATTTCCTTTTATAAATGATGGAATCAAGAGTGAAGTGACACAGACAGACACAAGACTAGAATTAAATTTTATGTTCTTTAAGGAGGAAGAGGTCTCCTGAATATAAGGAGTTTAAGCAATAAAAGGAGATAAATTACTTGGAAGAAGAGGGACAAGAAAAAAATTTTTAAAATCTTAAAAACAGAAAAAATGATGAGCATACTTTCCACCTTTCTATGTGACTTTGGACTTGTGTGTTTATGATTTTTGAACTGCAGAGAAATTTAAAATCCATTTGCAAATAACTACTGTGAATTTTGAAATAGGACTTTTATGAATCTCTTCCAGACTTACCTTTAAGATTTTTCCTATTTGTATACCTGTTGCTTCATGTGAAAGAAACTTTCTGAAATTGAATTTAATAAAATCAAGTGCTCTTCAATCAACTACAAGGGATGATAGATTGACAAATCTGGCTATACTGTCTAGTGAAGGTGAATATGCAAACAAGATAAATTTTTGTCAGTTATTGAGAAATTTGCAGAAGACAAAAACAGAAACTATGAAGTTATTATTCATGACTGCAACACACTAATATGTAGGTAAGCTTTTTCATCTTTTTCCAAAAATACGTTCACGTAATTAAAAATATCGGTCTACTATTTAAAAACTTTTTATAGACTGGAATTTCAAAATTGTAGAATAGATAAACAAGATTACACTGTATAGCACAGGGAAATACATACAAGATCTTATGGTAACTCAGAGAAAAAAATGTGACAATGAATATATATATGTTCATGTATAACTGAAAAATTGTGCTCTACACTGGAATTTGACACAACATTGTAAAATGATTATAAATGAATAAAAAATGTTTAAAAAAAACCCAACTTTTTGACCTGTATTAAAAACTTTTTAAAAAACTGGCATAATTATATACGGAGTACAATAAAGACTATTTCACTAGCCATTGTATTATTCACTCCATTTCAGGATTATTACTGAAAATATATTTTTTTTCTTGTACAGAGGAGAGAAGTGCTAAAACATTATCCCCTCTGGATGTTAAACATGCATTGGTGAGGGTACCCAAGTTATCTTACTAAACAACATAAGTGGAACCTGAGATTATTCGGTCTTATGCAGGCGTTATTCTCTGCCGAGGAGCCGAAGGCGTGGGAGGATAAACAGGACCGCAGCTCCAGCAGGAAGACAGGCGAATTTAGCGCGCCAAGCTTGACCCTCCATTCCTAGGTCCAGATCAAAAGCCGCTGCCTTGACCGCTGGGACCAATGTGATTGTTACCATGGAGACGGCGGAGCAGTGAATTGCACACAATTCCCGGCGCCTCTATTGCGTCATTTCCCGTCGCCAGCCCTTGGATCGGTCGCCCTGCTGGTATTAGCTGCGAGGCTGTTATCTAGTGGTAGTCAGAATTGTGTCTTCCGGAATGCTGCTTGACAGTACCCTTTTCCGTTTCGGAAAAGCTTTCTTATGGAGAATGCCCCGCTGTCAGTTAAGAGGTTGCAGCACCACCGCGCTCCGGACCGAGTTGTGGGAGCCTCTGGATGGGTCTAGATGTATCCTGGCAACCACCTGGGCTCCAGGTGAAATCTCAAGTCAGATTTGTTTTATGCTTCATCCTCAGAAACTTAGGCTTTTAAAAATAGGAATGTCCCAACTGTAAATGGAACCACCCAAATAAAATTGAGAAGATGCTTTCAATTAGGAAGAGTATCTCAAACTCTGTATCTACAAATTCTATTCAGAGAAGCCAGGAATCCAAGTACCTATCATATGGGTCTTTTCCACCATAACAGAGACAATACCAGAGGACCTGTGGGAGCAGGAGGGTATCTTTTAAATAACTGATCCCTTTAACAGACCAATTTCATCACTGTGCTTCTTTTTACCTTCTCATCACCAATATCACAAGGTTTTATCTGAGGGGGAAAGACACATAGGAAAGAGAATGATTTTCAAGATTTACTTCAAAGAATAAATTTGGACAGGATGTAGGCATGTACTTTTTGAAGTCCCTTCTTCCCTTTGAACATACCAATGAACAAGTAGATTGGGAAAGAGACAGATACTCTATCTCCCAGCCTCTTTCTTATTACCTTGCACTTGTTTTACAAAGTACCAGGTCATTTTAAGAGACTGGGCCTTAGGTAGAAAGGTAAGATAATAGTTCAGAGTTCCCTTGAAATACTCACAACATTGAAGAATAAAACCAGAAATGACCTAAACATGATGGAATTGGTAAACTTGTTTTACTTCTTGCTATTTCTTCACAGAAATACTCTGCTCCCTTCTTAAAATTCATTTCTATTTAGTTTCAGTTGACTTAATCAGTATAAGTTCAAATACAGCATAAAATATACTCTGAATTGTATGGTATTGCAACAATACAGCCAACCATGAGAAAAGAAATAGCAGCAGTGTACAGAAATTATGAAAGGAAGGAAGAAAATAGAAAAGAGATTTTTTTTTCTAATTAGCGCAGAAAAGTTGATTTAATGGTTGAGGAGGAGAACAGTGCCAACTTTGTTCACCCAGCAGGGTGGTGCAGTGGAAGCGTGCTGGGCCCATAACCCAGAGGTCGATGGATCGAAACCATCTTCTGCTACGGAGTGCTTTCCTGTTTTTTCTTTTTTTTCCCTTTAACATTTGTCTCCTTTATAAACGTTATTCCAACTAAGCTATAAACACAAAAACCGAATCAATTTCTATATCTTCCACATTCAACCAATTAAAATTCACAAGTTTGGGAATCCTCCTCTAGTTTGGGTTCTTCTTTCCCATCTTACTTTGAAATCCCACCATTCCTCCACTAGGCAATTCCAAAACTCTTCTACCTATGTGAAGTGGCACGCTGCCCCAAACTGTAAAATTCCTTCCATCCTTGGTGTCCAGCAGAGGAACAACTGGAAATATTACTTCAATTGAGGTGGCGTTGTGTGTTATATGCGATTTCATGGAGAAGGAAGTGACAAATGCCACATTTATTTCTATTATGTCTCCCAGTAAAAGGGTTTTCAAATTTATTATCTGCTTATGTTTTGATTAATTCCATACTACTAGTAAATGCAAATATAACTTAAACCAAAAGAATCAACTACTATACAGATTTGTGGTCCCATCAAACTCAAAATTTCAGATTTCAATATTTATACCTGAATTTATATATTTATAAATACCAATATTTATGTATTTGGTGCGGACTAGTAGGATGATCAAATAAAGATTTTAAGCGTAAACATACGTTATATTGGCATAAAATTCTGTGAACATACTACTTCAAGGAAGAGAGACCAACGAAATGGAAAATATCTGGACCCACTTTTGGACAGTGTGGCTTTTGAAGGGAACTCGTTCTCCGACTACCTTCAAATGACCTTTCTTGGAAGAGTCATATTCAATTCGTGCTAATTTTATTGTTATTAGAAGGAATTGTTTTAGAACACTTTAAATGTTATTTGCTTCTGAATTTTTCAGAATGTTAGTCACATAGTTTACTCTGGTTTAGCATGAATATTCAGCCTCAAATTAAATCTCTCACTTCTTTACTCCCCTCCGAGAGCTCCGATCCCACTGCATTAGGTGAGGATCGTGACTGGAGACATTGAGGGCGTGGAATGAGCTACAAACTAAGCCGGGTGCCTGCGAAGGGCTCAGGTTCAGGGGCGATAGACAAATGCCTTCGGCCCCCTCTGGAACCTCGAGGCCCCGCCAAGACTGCGATGTTACTTGCATACTCAAAGTGCGAACAGAGGGAGAACTGGATTCAGCCCAGGGGAGGCGACCCTGGATGGGGCCCGGAGGTGTCTGCGTCCGGAGCTTGTCCTCCCGGAGGCAAATGACTGACACCTACTGGCTGCAGAAAGGAAAGGGCAAATGAAAAGGAGAAGTGACGGAATCCCCAGCCAACAAATTCAACCTCCAGTGTTTCTGGCTGTTGGCGCCACGAACTCATCTGGGCTGCGTGGGTCCACCTGTCTGGGTCTCCAGTCCTGCGCTCCTGCGAGCGCAGCCCCCAGTCACCTAGCGGGGCTTGGGCTACACGCCCTCCTCCGACTCCGGGAAACAGGCAGGAGGACGGATCCGTGCCAGGACCGGGAGCATGGACCCTCCAGGACAGTCGCTGCCAGATCCTGGAGACCCGGCGCCCGCTCCACTGACTCGGTGATCTCGGACCGCGCGCTTCCTCTTGAATCCCTCTCCTCGGGCCTCGTTGCAACCCGGAGAGGAGAGAACAGAGGCCTGAGCGCCCACCTTCGGCCTCAAAATAGTAGAGCAAGCTACAGGGACTGTCGAGGTCCCACGTGCCCTCTGTTTTCACCTGGCTCTGACCTTCGGATGCTGGACCTGGAGGGTGTGGAGCGCCCCGAGACCCTTGCACTTTCCTCGCGCAGGGAACCTAACCGTCATCCGACCACTGCGCACTTCGACGGCGGCTGAGTCACCAGATGTGAGAAATCTCGGGAGCCGAAACCCTAAGTCTAAGTCACCGATTCCGCCTCGTTGCTCCTCATGGGCAGTTACCTGGGCAAGCCGGGACCCCCGCCATCGTCCCCCGCAGAGGAGCGCACAGACTTGTCGGAGAGGCCGTTGAACCGCCGGCCAACTCAGCCCCTTCACCAAGTCCACCGGGTTCAGCACATCCATCGTGCCCACCCTGCCCCGCGTCACCGACCTGCGAGGAGGCCACCGAACTGGGATCCTACCAATCCCACCACGTGGGTAGTTAATGAGGCTTGGAGGCGCTTTCCCATGAAGAGGTCCCAGAATTCCATCATGGGGCCTCTTCCCTCAGACTGGTGGGAAAGTTACTTCAAGCGCAGTGTTTGGTCTCTTCGGCACCCCCGGGCCATATGGAGCCCGGTGACTATCAAGATCGCTCCTCCTGAGCGGACAGCGCCCTGCTCCTCTTCCCCAGTAGAGGTAATTGACTGTGCAGGGCCCTCACTCTCTAAGAAGCCCTCAGATCCATGTGCAAAAGAGACAGTGCTGAGGGCCCTCCGAGAGTGCAAGAAAGGGAAAGTAAGGTTGGAAGAACCACTGTTCCCTGAGAGCTTGGACCTTAAGAGAAGGACTCCGGAGACAAGGCCGTCTGCATTTAAGCCTCTGATAAAAAATGGAGTCCTCACTTCTTTTGTGCCCAGGCCTGGGCCTCTAAAGAGAAGCCTCTGCCTGTGGAGCTCAGATCACAGCCTGAATAAGAGACCCAGTTGCTACTCCATGAGCTCCTTGGCCAGCATACACACAGGTGGTCCTCTTAGCTCCAAAAGAAATGCTATTACAAGCTCTTACAGCTCTTCTAGAGGTTTCTCTGAGCCTTGGAAGAGAAGTGTTCCCGATGCATCACTCCAGATACCAGAGTGGCCATTAAAAAAGAAAGAAAAAGGTCATCTGTCTCACTCTCCAGTCCCAGTGGTATCAGAAGAGTCCCTGGAAACATCTGGCTGTTCTGGGCAGCAAAATCAGATTCCACTGCTTCTATCTAGCCCTGGGGACCCGCTGTCCCTGACTCCACCTCCCCAGCCTGATTATGCAGCCCCTGAAGAAGATCTGGCCTTAGGAAAGAAAGCTGGACTCCAATGGAGCAACAAAGCCAGAGGAGTTATGACTGAGGTCACCACAGACTCTGTCCCTGAGACTCCATCTGCTATTCAGCCTTCTTGGCCTCTCACCCTGCCTTCTTCAGGCACAGTTCCAAGCCAGGGCACTAATCCTCAGTTGGAAAGCTTAAATAAAACACAGAAGTTGCCAGGTCCACTGGCCTTCCCACAATCCACTGGGGAGGCAACCAGTGTGGCCCACTCACCCGTGAAGACAGCAAGCCTGCTGGCCCCACTGCAGTGCTCACAGTTAGAGCCCCTTTCATGCACCTCTTCAGACTCAAATCCCACAGCTACTGTCATCCTTGTGACCCCTGTTTCTCCCACATCACCAGTCACTGACACCACACGGCCACCTTCAACCTCTCAGGCTGCTGTGCCCCGAGACTCACCTGTCGTAATGCCTGCAGCACCCACTATGCAAAGTACTTTGCTCGGACGGATGAGTAGCCCAGCTCCCCGTCTTCCTGCATCTGCACCTCCCAGTGCAACCTCTGCTGACCCCATGTCAAAATCCATCTTTGGGCTTCCAACCAATAGTGAGATTGGAGACTCCTTATATTCCAGGATTTCAGTCACAGCTGCAGCATCTTCAATTTCAGGTATCTTAACTCCTGCCTTCAAGCCTATCTTTGACAGTATGAGACCATTTAAAACTATGCCCATGATAGCTCCTGTCTCTTTCAAGCAGACCTCTCCTCTACCTACTCCTGCTTCTACCCATCTCTTCCATGGCCTGGTCAAGGCTACCTCTGTAGTCATGTCCACCATCCCAGTCTGCACATCCAAAGATTCTTCTTTTAAACCGCCTTTGGATTTTGGTGTAGTGAATGTTACCAGTACCATGGGCAACACTTACTCCATCCCTTCCACTCATCACACTTTCCTTCTTGGAGCTACCTGTGCCTTGAGAGCTAACTTCTCCCCAGCCACAGGCTTCATTTTGCCACCACAACAGTGTCCTACCATTCCTACTGTACACACAGTCACCATCTTTAGCCAGGTTCTTTCCAGTGCTGTCCAGATACTCCCTACCAGAAGCACTGCCAATTTTAGGGTTATTGGCAACCCTCTGTCACCTTCAGCCCTAGTAACCAGCAACCCTCCTGCATTGTCATCCAGGATCTCCAATTCAACCTCAGCATTCACAGTTCCCTTAGGGTCAAGCTCAAGGTCACCTTTCCCACCATCCCTGGGAGCCACTCCCCAGGTGACATTTGCAGCTGCATATGGGCAGAAGCAAGGGACCCCCCAACCAGCCCTTGGCCCAAGCTTCAGTAGCTCTTTCATTTTTGGAAACTCAACAGTGGCATCCTCAATCCCAACACCATCTCTAGCCCAACCATCCTTCAGTAGTACCACACAGTCAGCCTTTGTTGGTTTGGCACCATCAGCCTCCACCTTTCATGTCTCTGCCAGCTTCCAGACAGAATTTAGCAGCACTCCAGCAAGTTTTCCCTTTGGTCAAGCTAATACAAAGGGTTTTGGAGTTGTCACCCCAACCTGTAGGAGTGGGGCTTGTGGCCCAGTGTTTGGTAGCACAGCCCCACGACCTTTTGCCTTTGGGGGATTAGTGACCCCTATGGACTGTGGGGAGTCTGAGGTCAGCATGACTGCCCCAGACATGAGCTCCAACTCTGGAGCATTCAGCATTGGAGCAATGCCTAGTGGGACCACTAGCACCATCACACCCTCTGGAAAAGCCTGGGGCCAAAACAACCAGGGCTTGACCAGCCAAGGCACACATTTTACCTTGGGAGGGCCAGCATTTCTGCAGGAAAAAGCATGTTTGGGGGCCCCTCCATGGCCCCCTTTGCTCAGAGCACTCCTGATCCTGGACCAGTTAAGGCAGGCAGCAGCCTTGGCTTTGGGATTCACTTTCCACCTGCCCAGGGCTCTGTTGGGGAAGGATCTTTCAAATTATCAGCCCCTTCATTTTCCATTGGTACAAAATCAAAAACCCCAAAGAATAGGGAGCAAAGGCATTCCCGAAGGCATCATGCCCGCAAGAAATAATCTGTTCTCTGCCATTTGTACTCTGATTTGGACCTCAGTATAGTGAAGTGCCTTAGTCTCTTCTAATTCTCTAAAGCAAAAATACCCTGGATTTAAGGTTAGAGCTTTACACATTCACCTTGTGGGTCCTAATCTATATTCCAGAAGAAGATGGAGGACTAAAGTATCTAGGGATAGCAAAATAAATAAGTGAAACCAAATTTTGGAGATGAGCAGAGCCTTGCCTTCCCCTCCCTGCCTACTCTTCTCTATGTCAATGGTGAGCTTGGTCAGGATATTGCCTTCTGCTTTTTCTCTGGGAAAAAAAAAGCATGCCAGGGAGGCAACAAGTATAGTCCATACCCTCTTGCATCTTTGGTAGGAGGAATAGATTCTCTCTAAATCTTAGCCTGCTTTTACTTGGCTCTAAGAAGTGGTTCCTTTTATCTGGTCCCCTAAGGAGACCAATTCCTCATTTCTTGCTATTTTGCTCCACAATTCATTCTTGGAGAAGCTTTTAATGCAATTTGACCTTGATTCCAACTTTTCCTTGAGGATCAATTGTCAGCCCACAAGGGCACCCGTGGGAGGACCAGAGGAGGAAAAAACAGGGTGGTGCAAACTTGCTTCTTCCTTGTACAACATTGGTCATGATTCCTCCAGTATGAGCCAGAAATTCTCAATTAGGGAATCGAAATTTCATTTAATGTTTTAAAAATTTGTGCCTTAAAAAAATCACCCTCTCCATTCACACCTCTCCCAGATAGGATAGGTAGGGCAGGAAGACTCTTGGGCCTGAGAAAAAAGGAGAAAGAGAAGAACAGCAGATACCTAATCTGACCTCTGTTCTATAACCAATGGGAGGTCTGTGAGCAACCTATAACCTATCCCTTAGCACTTACCATCCTGATGAAAAAGAAAAGCAAGAATGACTCCCTGAATATATCTGTCTCCTCTTTTATGGATACCTTGGAAGAGATCTAACTGGAAAAATATGCAATCTTAAATTGGTTGATAAAATAAAGTTATTGAAATAAGTCAATGATATAGGAATTACTGTTAAACTCATATCAATTCCAAGGCAGAAATATGTTCAGAAACTTGCCCACACCGCCCTCCCCCCCTCCCCCAGTTAGTAAAGGTTAGATTTGGAGTTTAAACCCTATTAGCTCCAAAGTCTGTGTTCACTTCTCTCTCACTATAACAGATCACCAAAGTAAACTCTAACCCTATATATAACTCTAAAAATCCGTGCATTTTAATTTTTAAAGATATTCTGCAACCTGAGATTACCATCTTACAGAGTTGGGGAAAGAAGAAAAGTGTTACATATATTCTACTGCTCTTTTCATGATAATTTAACATTTATCTAGTGATAACTATATGCCTTGTGTTGTGCTTTGCACCAGACATTCAGAGGTGAAGGAAAATTCTTGCTTTGGAAAGATTAGTAAGCGAGTGATTCCAAAACAAACAAGTACCAGGGGAATGGAAGCAGGGCAGAAGGTCATCTTATCTAAGACCTGAATTCTGTTTTAAGGTGTGTGTTCTGGGATCCAAGCAAAGAAAGGTGTTGCAAGCCAAAGGTAAAGCACGTACACAGGCAGGTCTGGAAGACAAAGAAAATCTATTAGGATAACTTCCAAGGAGTCAGACATGGTTAGGGAGAAGCAGAGGCAGATCATGGATATGCTTATAAACATGGATGTGCAGTATAGACAGGGTTCCAAACACAGTGGAGAGTCATGGAAAGATTTTAAGTAGGAAAGAGACAAACTTGAGTTTAGATTGTTCTGGCTGTCATGTGAGAGAGAAATCAAATGGGGACAGACTGGAGACCTGGAAATGTGTGGGAGGCTGTGGAAACACCAACAAACATGAAAGACATACATTTGAACTAGGTAATTACCTGGTTAACAACAACCAGGTAGTTAATTGTGGGCATGGGGAGGCAGTAGAGAGAGAAGGGATTAAGGAACAGGGCTTGGTGATAGATTGCACAGTAATGGGCAGAGGAAATAGGCAGCCAGGATCACTGCAGATCCGGTCATCAGATGGGGCTTAGCTTTCTGATGTGCTTCCTTCCTTGGGCAAAACCAGTTTACAGTTGGTGGGGCTGACTTGCAGTTTAAGCTCAGTGGTCCCAGCTGTCATGTGGGAGGCAGAGTCTGCTCAGGGAAGCTGGTTCTGATATAGAGATGAGAGTTTTGAGCAAAAGAGAATGGAGTCTTTGACCCATAAACAGGAGGAGCAAGGACTCACTGTCCCTCGTTGATGTGAGGGAGGAAGATGCTTCCAGATTCTGTCCCCCAATCCCATTCTCACAGCCTTCCTCCAGCAAAAATTGGCAGAACTTGAGAAGAAGGAGTGGAATATGTGTCCAGGAAAGCAACTGGTCTGAGTCACTAGCCTCTCTAGTGGGACTCATGGTTGAGGGAGAAGATGGATTCAAGGGATGATAATTGGGGAGTATTTGTTCTTCTGAGAAGAGTTGGATCTGGGACTAGGGGAAACATGTCAGGGGAATCTCTGAATGGACCCAACCTGAGGTTTCTTCAGTGGCTTAGACTAATACTTTTTTTTCTTTCTAAGGCAGAAGATTAATAGACAGGCCTGGGGAACTGCACAGCTTGGACTCCAACAGACAGAATAGCCTATGCAAGTGCACAGAAATGCAATTGATTTTTGTGTATTGATCTTATACCCTATAACTTTGATGAATTTATTTATTAGCTCTAATAGGTTTTTGTGGATTATTTGGGATTTTCTACATATAGGATTATGTCATCTGAGAATAAATATAGTATTACTTCTTCCTTTCCAGTTTGGATAATTTTTTTTTATTCTTTCATGTTTGCTCTGGCTAGAATTTCCAGTACAATGTTGACTAGGAGTGGTAAGAGCAGGCATCCTTGTCTTGTTCCTAATCTTAAAGGGGAAGACTTCTGATTTTCACCAGTGACTGTGTTGCTAGTTGTGGGCTTTTCATAAATTCTCTTTATCATGTTGAGGATATTCCCTTATATTCTTAATTTTTGAGTTTTTTTCTTTTTTTTTAGTCATGAGAGTTTGGGATTTTTGTCAAACAGTTTTTCTGCATCAGTTGAAATGATCATGTGGATTTTATGTTTTTATATTAATGTGGTAAATAATATTAACTAATTTTCTTATGTTGAACTACATTTTCATTCCTGGGATAAATCTCACTTGCTCATGGTGAATAATACTTTTTGTATGCTGTTGAATTCAATTGGCTAGTAGTTTGTTGAGAATTTTTGCATCTATGTTCATAAAGGATATTAAACCTGAAGTCTTTGGTAGAATGCATTAGGAAGTTTTCCCTCCACTTCCATTTTTAAGAGGAATTTGACAAGGCTTGGTGTTAAGTCTTCTTTAAATATTTGATATAATCATCACTGGAGCCATCTGGTCCTGGCTTTTCTTTGAATGTTTTTGATTACTAATTCAATCTCTTTACTTACTCTAGATCTGTTTTGATATTCTTTATCTTTTTGAGTCAATATCCGTATTTTGTATGTTTCTAAGAATTTGCCCATTTTACCTAGGTTATCTAATCTGTTGGCATACAATCATTCACAGTATTCTTTTATAATCCTTTTTATTTCTGTAGGGCCGATAGTAATGTCCCCACCCTCATTTATGATTTTAGTTATTTGCGTATTTCCTCTTTTTTCTTTGTTGGTCTAGTAAATATTTGTCAATTTTGTTAATCTTTTCAAAAACCTAACTTTTGGTTTTGTTGATTCTGTTCATTAGTTTTCTATTCTTTATTTTATTTATCTCTACTCTTATCTTTATCATATCCTTCCTTCTGCTAGCTTTGGATTTAGTTTGTTCTCAGGTTTCGTGACCTAGATATGTCCTAATTGTCTCCAGGATCCAAGTATCAGCAAGAGGAGCGCACAGGAGACTAGTCATCCGAGCCCTGCTCTGTGGTCAGTTCCGTGATCCGCCCGCTGCCGGCTCTGGCTTGAAGGAGCTTCCAGTTTGCCTCCCGCCTTCCCTGCGTAGGAGGAAGGATGCTTCGCTCGGGGACTTTGATCTAATGTTTTTGGGTCAGAAATGGCAGTTTAAGAGAGGCCCCCCCGAAGAGGGAGAATTCATTCAAGTCAAAAGTTTTTCTTTTTTCTTTTTCCTATCTCCGTGGTAGGGGAGAATGAATTAGGAAGAATATGGGGATTTTTAAAAATTGTTACTTTTTGGTTGTTTCAGTTCTTCGCTGGTGTTGTTTAGGGGGTGGGTTTTTCCCCAGAAAAATTTGAAGATACGGTTTCGTTTCGTTTTCGTTTATATCTTCTAAAAAGGAAGAAAATGCTGCAACCAGGGGCCGGTTAGCTCAGTTGGTTAGAGCGTGGTGCTAATAACGCCAAGGTCGCGGGTTCGATCCCCGTACGGGCCAAGCCGTGCTTTTTCGATAACATTCGTAACACAAATGACGGTCTTTTCACTCTCAGATTTCAACCTACGTATCTACATTCACCACCGTCTGCGACACAAACCTCTCATTTAGAATTTCAAGGCTTTTCAACAAACATTTTTAATTTCCCCCAAGGTTTAGGTCCTTCTTTGAATCCCATCTACGGGAAGAAGGCATAACAGTGACCCGGCAGGGGAAAAAGAACCACTTGTGACTTTTTTTGTGTGTTTTTTCAATTGGGAAGTTGATTCTTGCAAACAAGCAAGCAAGCAAACAAACAAACCTATTCGGATTATTTCAATTTAAAAAGAAATTGTAAAACCACAGACACTTTCTACATATCTATACTGGGGTCTTCACTATTTCAGAGGAAGATTGAAAAAATTTTCAAAGTGACACGTATAAAAAATTTTTTTTTTTATTAACATCAACAGTAGGAGTGAAGCAGAACTTCGTTTTAACGTTGTGAGGACTGACTACACATACAGAAGACTCATTGTTTTTAAAAAATGTTTAATTTGGGGCTAAGAAGTATATTCACATGTTTCAAAGTTAAAACATATTAAATGGTACAGGGAAAAGT